TTTCATTTGACGTATACGCAATGAAATTGAAAGTTGAAAACCGCTGGATTTGTTACGTTTACATTTTTTTAAATCTGTCGCAATTTACTGTTGACTATTTTTTTAAGAATTCGCCAACGACAAATTTATATATTTTAGAATGCTCGCTAATAGCATTGAAAATTTAAAAACGTTAAATATTCGGATTTTTTTTTCATTATTTACTGCACCATTTTTTTTAGGAGCCTTCCACTATTTTGATTGAACTTGAAAAATTTAAAAAAAAATCTAATGAAAAATACTGCTCTTTGGGGGCTATACGAAGACGTGACCGTGCATTAGAAATATTTTTCATAGGCTGTAGTAACCATTACGAACTGTAAATATGAAATTTGAAATAACTCCGCTTAAAATTGTGCCATTATATGTGGGTTATGTTCATCATAGCCTGCGGTAATCATTACGAGTTTCAAATACAAAATTTGAAACAATCCCGCTGAATGATGTCGCTAAAATCATCAGAAAACCGAAAATCGGGAGGCATCGTTATATGGGGGCTATACGAAAACGGGGACCTTCATACGCAAGATTTTGTCATGGGCTGTGTTACTCATTACGAACTGTAAATACGAAATTTGAAACAAGTCCGGTCAAAAATGTCGCTAAAATCGTCGAAATACCGAATATTGTGGAGTATGGAGTATCGTTATATGGGCGATATACGATGTGCTGGACCTATAGAGGCAGTTCTCTTCCAGGGGCTAAGCACTCAGAAGCAAATCCTTGTGTGGATTTTCGGACAAATTCATTAACAAGTTTGGCTAAAATCATGAAAATACCGAATATTGTGGGGTACCGTTGTATGAGGGCTATACGATATCGTGGACCTATACAGACAATTTTCTTCCAGGGTGTAGAGTACTCAAAAGGAACTCCTTGTGTGGATTTTCGGACAATTTTATAGGAAAAAGTGGCTAAAATCATGAAAATACCGAATATTGGGATGTACCTTTGTATGGGGGATATACGATATCGTGGACCGATATAGCCCATCTTCGAACATGACCTAGCCTATAGATAAAAAACTGATCTGTGCAAAATTTTAACTTCCTATCTTAATTCGTTTTGACTTTAGCGTTAATACAACAGACAAACGGTCGGACGGAAGGATGGACGGGCATGCCAGGGAATACCTCAAGCGCATGTTTGGCTGGCTTAAGTCATCAGCTGGCTTCTTCGTAGAGAAACAAAGGAGTTCGAGGTTGACTTAGTTCGATTTTGGACCTATGCTCCTTTGTTCATTTCCGAAGAATGCAGCCGATGACTTAAGCCAGGGAAATAAGCGCTTTATGTATTCCAACCTTCAGAGTTTTACGCTGATCTTTGTTGGGGCTTTAATTATTATTTCAATGAGTTACAAACGGAATGACGAACTTAATATGCACTCCATACTATGTATGGTGGAGGATATAACAAGAATGACATGTAGATAGGTCGCAGGAGAAGTTAACACAAATTAATGAAGGTTTTCAAATATTCCTACTCATCAGGATAATTTAAAATTGTAGAATTATTGTGTGTGACAACCAAAATGAGATTTGAGTTCTCTCAACAAAAGTGGCGCCCAACATAAACAACTATGTGTTTTGACTGCTCCCAGCTTACAAAAGCTGTGATATGGTAGAAAATTCAAATTGAGTTAATAGTAAAGCCATGTGGCAACGGTTTGAGAGGTCAGCCACTCAACGAAGAGTTGCGGCCAAGAGCTGACTGTTTTGCCAGTTAACAATAGTGGCGCCCAACATAAACAACAATGTGTTTTGACTGCCCCCAGTTTACAAAAGTTTAAATTGAGTGGATAGTAATGCCATGTGGCAACGATTGGAAAGGTCAGCCACTCAACGAAAAGTTGCGCCCAAGAGCTGATTGTTTTGCCAGTTAACGACAATGGCGCCCAATATGAACAACAATGGGTTTTGACTGCATCCAGCTTACAAAAGCCGTAGCCGTGGTAGAAAATTCAAATTGAGTGGATTGTAAAGCCATTTGGAAACGATTTTAAAGGTCAGCCACTCAACGAAGAGTGGCGGAAAAAAGCTGACTGTTTTGCCAGTTAACAACAGTGGCGCCCAATATAAACAACTATGTGTTTTGATTGCCCCCCCCCCAGCTTACAAAAGCCGTGATATGGTAGAAAATTCAAATTGAGTGGATATTAAAGCTATGTGGCAACGGTTTGAGAGGTCACCCTGTCAACAAAAAGTTACGACCAAGAGCTGACTGTTTTGCCAGTTAACGATAGTGGCGCCCAATAAAAACAACACTGGGTTTTGACTGACTCCAGCTTACAAAAGCCGTGATATGGTAGAAAATTCAAATTGAGTGGATCAAAACTACTTTAAGTGTTCCTCTCAAGAATACATAAATTGTTCTTAACGATTTATTGTAAAATGAGTTTTCAATTCAATTGTCAAAGGCTATTGTTAAATTGTATCTATTGATTGAATCAGTTGTTATATTATTGCTTATGTTTGTTTTGTTTTAATAAAAAAAAAACACTATTGTTGTTCTTGCATTTAAAGGTATTTATGTGTAGAAAAAAATATATATTCTCCTTAGAATAGCACCAATTCTATGTAATTATTGTTATCAATGGGATATTTATTTGTAAAATATAGATTACTTTTGTTTTTGCTATTTTTCCATTTCATGTGGGATATTGTGATAAAATTTTAACTATGGTTATTTTTTTTTTTACAAAACAAACTAACGAACAAATTGTGTAATTATGAGGGAAGACAACAAACATTATGTTGTTGTTTTTAATCTTAAAAAAATCGTATAAGACTGTTACTTATATATGGTTTAAAGTTGAAGATTTTTTTACTTTTAGTTATATATTTCGTTTTTTTTTAATAAGTTTTATTGTTATTATTGTTTTTTTTTGTTATAACTTTAGTAACAACCAATTGAAATTCTTGTATGCTGTGTTATGTGTTATTGTTTCTTTTCTCTCCAAGTGTTTACACACAACACTTGTTAAAGGAAAAAGAAAACATAACAACATTGGATCACATGAGATCGTTTGCTATTTGAAAGTAATACGTTTTTTGTTGTCTATGTGTGTGTACATACTTAAAAAATAATTACATTGATTAAAAAATAAAAATTATTTAAGTTATTCTTTGTATGTCTAAAGTTCTTTGCTGCAACAATTTGAGTTTGTCATTTTTGTGTTGTTGTTTTCTTTTTTTTTATTGCATTTTGCAAAATACGAGAAATTTTTTTTTTCACATATTTTCCACCATGTAAGATAAATTGTCGAATACAAAAACAAAAAAAAAAAGAAACCATTCGAAAGTTTAAATCTTTTGCGTTTACACGCTCTAAATTTTTAATTGTCTTTAATATTCTTGCTGTTTTCCTGATAGAACTTCTAAGCACTTCAGATAGAACTTCTGATGCAACGCGTTCATTCTGTTTTGTTCTATTTTTCCTGTACAACTTTTACCTTTTTTTTTTTGACAAAACTTATAGGCGCACATGATGCAACGCGTTCATTCTGTTCTATTTCTCCTTTATAATTTTTACTTTTTTCTTTTTGATAAAACTTATAGGCACTCATGATGCAACGCGTTCATTCCGTTTTGTTCAATTTTGTCTTTAAGACTCTTTTTTTTCTGATAGAACTTCTAGGCACTCATGATGCAAGGCGTTCATTCTGTTTTGCTCTATTTTTTTCTTCAACGCTCTTGATGTGTTTCTGATAGAAATTATAGGCACTCACGATGCAACGCGTTCATTCTGTTCTGTAAGACTTATACTGTTTTTCTAATATGCGCCTATGATGCAAAGCGTTCATTCTGTTTCGTTCTATTTCTTCTTTAAGACTGTTGCTGTTTTTTCCTAATAAAGCCTTTACACACGCATGATGCAAAGCCTTCTTTTTTAAATAAGATGGAACCAGGATGCAACGCTTTCATTCTGCTTTGTTCTATATGTCTTTTGAATTTTGCATCTCTAAAATATCAACTATCGATGAAGCTTAAACGCAATATGCCAAAAACAGAATGAACGCTTTACCCTTTTTTTCATGGTACGCCTTTATGATAAAACAATAAGCACAAGGAGACGGCTTTATCAATGCCAAAAGTCTACCGAATGGGTCTGCCTGGGTACTTCTCAGTTAACATGAATGTTCTGAAAAAGAGAGCTATTTAAGAGAGAGAGAGAGAGAGCTTACAAATTCTTGACAGACAAATTTCGCCTTGCAGTCAATTGCAACTCTTTATATTTTTCCTTTGTTTTTTTTTTTGCGTTTTTGGCAGAAAATACAAAGAAAAAATATGAAGAGTTGCAATTGACTGCAAGACGAAATTTGTCAGTCAAGAATTTGTAAACTCTCTCTCTCTCTCTTAAATAGCTCTCTTTTTCAGAACAGTTCTCCATCATTCCCTCTCTTATTTTTAATAGAAAACCATATTTTTGCACAAATTTGTTTTGTTATGACAAATCAGCTGATTGCTTGCAAGTTTTTACAGGGTTTCCGTCTGTTTTGATTTTTTGACATTTGAACAAACTTCTCAATTGCAATGAGAAATGGAAAACCATAAAACAGCTGACAGCGGAACTAGTTCCATTTGGAAATAACAACGGAGGTGAACGAAGCGTTCAGTGAACGAGATTACCAAACGCTGGATTTATTCTATTTGTGCAGAGATAAAAAGAAAATGGGAACTCGATTTAAGAAAATCGTAAATTTGAATTTATGGTTGGAACAATTTAAAAATGGGGAAAATGTTAGGGCAATTTTCTCGCACTTTATTAAGAGGCAAATTTTGGTGTCCCACAGATGTTCATTGTTTCATAATTAATATTATCCCTTCATTAAATTTTTTCTTCGAAAAAAAATTTCTGACTAAATTTCCCTTAAATTTTTTAATTTCTTTTTTTTGTGTATTCAAATAACTTATTAATTGTTGCAGTTTGACTGAAAAAACATCATTTCGTTTCTTCTATTTTCTTTGTAAAAAATCTAGAAAAAAAACTATTGGTTTGGTATTTTTGTTTGGAACACAACATAACAATAGGAAAATAGGTAAAAAATGTCAGCAATTTTGAATATTGTTCAATTTTTGTTTCGTTTTTTTCTGTTTTAGTTTCTAAATGCTACAATTTTTATTAGCAGGTTATCCGCCTATGTTCTAAGCCGGGAGGGAGTGTTTGCTAAAGCATTTTGGTTCTTCAATTTCTTTTGCTCATAAATATTTTGGGGTATTTGCCTATAGATCCTAATGTCATATTGTGTGTATTTGTGTTTGTCTTGTCGGTTATATATATATATATATTGATCTTCTTATATATATGTATATGTAGGCATAAATTTCAATATGTATTCAGCTTCAAGTTCTTCTCATTCTTCTTCTTTTTTTTAAATATATATAATTTTTGATAATTTTATTACAAAATAAAAAAAAAGTATCCATGTATAATCCTGTCATATATGTATACATATATTTAATAAGTATATTTTTGCATGTATTTTATATGTACATGCCCATCTTAGTGAGAACTTATTTCTTGTTTATCTCCTGGTTTGTTTTCAATCCATGTCATATTTCTTGGGATTTCATAAAATCCCATATGGGGAGACTCTCTTTTTTCCGTTTGGGATACATACATCGTTTAGTTAAAATATCCTTAAATTTTATTTCCGGATAAGTTGATGGTGGTGGTTTTCTATACAGTTAATATATATCAAAAAAAATCATGGTCTTTATTACAATATATAATAATTAAGGAGGATTTCCCATTTTACCCATGAGAAAATAATTCCTGACTTGTTCAGTTTCTTTTTTTTCTACACTTTTAGTAATAGTTGTGTTGTTGATACTGCTGCTGCTGCGACTGTGGCGGCGGCTGCAGCTGCTGCTGAGGGTGTTGTAGTTGTAGTTGTGTTGATGGAGATGGTTGCTGCATTCGATCATAGTCACTTTTAATACTCACAGTGTTGTAATTGTGAATATTAATGTTGTTGTTGTTATTAATATTATTATTACTGTTGCTGTTGTTGTTGTTGTTCTGATTTAGCATATTATAATTGTTATTATTATAGTAGTAATAGTAATAATAATAATAATTTAATAATAAACTAAAATCGTTTCACTATTGCGGCAACTCATCTTTTGTATCCACCGGACTGGGTGTCAAATACTTGCGTGCATATTTGGGAAAATGGGTCTTTTCGTGCGCCTTCAGTATCGTCGATCGTGAAAATGTTTTGCCACACATTTGACATCGAAACGGGCGTTCACCTAAATCAGAATATTTATATGTTTTGGGTATCATATATTGAACAAAAAAAAATCTAAAAAATATTGAAAACAAATAGAAACAACAAGAAATCTCTGGCCAGGTGCTGTTAATTGTTTAGTGAAAATTCAGAACTGAACTGAAATTGATGTACTTGCTTCTAAACTAAATTCGGTTGGATGTGCCAAAATTCAAGCCATTTGGTGCACAATTAAGCCGAAATCTGTTGAAGATATACATGGGAGCTATGTCTAAATTTGAACCGATTCTCACCAAATTTAAAGTACTGGTTTCTATGATGAATTCTGTCGGATGTGCCAAAACTAAGTACATTTGGGCTGATATTTGTCATTTGGTGCACTAAAAACCTGAAATCGGATAAAGATATATATATGGGAGCTATATCCAAATCTGGACCGATCTTGACAAAATTTAAGGCAATCATTTCTAAGTTGAATTTGATATCTTGTACCAAAGATTTTTGTTGTGGAGTGTATACTACGCATGTGAGGGACTTAAAACCTCAAATCGGATGAAACATATAGTATGGGAGCCATAGCTATAACTGAACCGATTTTCACCAAATTTGATGTACTTGCTTCTAGACTGAATTTGGGCGAATGTGCTAAAATTTAGGTCATTTGGGTTGATATTAGACATTTGGTGTACTAAAAACCTGAAATCGGATAAATATATATATATGGGAGCTATATCCTAATCTTATCCGATCTTGATAAAATTTGACATAGGTATTTTTGAGCTCCGTAAGTCAGCTGGTACCAAATATCATTCTTGTGGAGTGCATATTACGCATGTGAGGGACTTAAAACCCAAAATCCAATTTAATATCTGAACCGATTTTCACCAAATTGTATGTACTTGCTTTTAGACTGAATTCGGTGCGTTGTGCAGGTCATTTGGACGGATATTGGCCATTTGGTGCACAATTAACTCGAAATCGGTTGAAAATATATTTGGGACCTATATTTAAATGGATAGAGGGACGGACGGACGGATTCCTGCAATCTTTGGGTTTCAAGAAGTATTATTTTTTATCAAAAAATTTAAAATGTAGGCTGTAGACGGCGGCAGCAGATTTCTTTTTGTTTCCATTTATTTTAAAACATATTTTTTTTTTTTAAATAAATAAAACATATCAAATTGAACCAACAACACTCACCTGTATGGACACGACAATGATCCTTCATATGATGGCGCAATTTAAACGCTTTGCCACAAAATTCACACTTAAACGGTCGATCACCGGTATGCACCGGCAAATGTTGAATGAGTGAGGTAACATCGGGAAAACTCTTACCACAGAATTTACATAAAACAACACTATTCGGATCATTGGATGAGGCTAGCAGCGAGGAGCCCGACGAACTGGCTGCTGCTGCAGCAGCTGCCGCCGCCGCTGCAGCCGATGTCGACGAACCAGCGCCGCTTAACAGGGATAAACTGCTCGAGGGACAACCACCGTTGCCGGAAGAGGTACGACTATCATCATCCAGGCCGCTGCCACGACCACCGCCCATGCCACCACCGCCGCCGCCCCCGCCGCCTCTTGAATCGCGACCACCACGACCCGACGATGATGAGCCTCCACCACCGCCACCACTGCCGTCAAGATCCAAGCCGCGACCCGTACAACTCGTAAGCGAGGGAAAAACACAACCACCAGCTGCTGCCAGCGCTGCGGCATTAAAATCAATATCCATGGCTAGGGCAACGGCAGCAGCCTGTTCCTGGGGATCACCCCCCGCCGCTGTGGCTGCCATGGCAGCATTTATTTGGTATGCTAACGGTGACATATTCAGATCGTGGCCCAACAGATGCGGATGCAGCAGGGCATGGGTGGCGGCCGTTTCACGGAATTCCAATGTTTTCAACGAATGCGAGAGTATATGGCGTGTTAATTTACTCTGGGTGGGAAAACCGGCGGCACAATAAACACAGGAATAGGGTGGTGGCGTACGCGGATGATCGTGCATGTAACTGGAGGAGGAGGCAGTGTTAATGGATGATGAGGCACTGGGACAGAGGCTACTGCTGCCAGCACCACCACCCATACCACCACTGCCCATGGACCCACAACCAATGCCACCGGCATTGGAAATGCCAGCAGAACCTAAGCCATGCGGCGATTCAGACGTTTCCTGCAACAACACCAAACAAAAATCCAAACATCAACTTCTTTTGTCTTCATCGTTTTTTGAGTTTATTTTTAATTTTGATTTTGATTTTTTTTATTGTAAATTTCGAAATTTCTTTATGAAATACAAAGTTTTTAAGCTTCTTCTTCGTTTTCTTTGTCGTTAATTTGAGAAAAAAAAACGATTTTGTAAAAAAAATATTTGGAATGGAAACAAATCGATTTTTCAATAAATATTCTTATAAAAATTAAAAAAAAACAAGGAGAGTGAAAATAGAAAAATTAAGTCTTAGAAAGAAATACAAAAATCTATATTTATTGAAAATGGGAATTTGGGGGGATTTTAAATTCAATTCTAAGTCCATTTTGTGGTGGGAAAAAATTATAATGAAAGGAAAAGTATTGAAATGTGTTTTTGTACTTTGGTAATTGTAATTAATTTACTCAGTTCATACCAAGATTTTCTGATTTTTCAATAATTCAAATACTAGAAAAATATAGATTTTAATTTTTTATTTTTTTTATTTTTCAAAAAAAAACATATTTTTTATTTTATTTTTTTCGCAAAAACAAGAGGGTGTTTCAGCGTTTTCATTTTCATATCTCAACGTTGTTGCTGCTTAGGAAGTAGTAGTTTTTGTTTTATTAGTGGTGCTAAGAATAACCTTTTTTGTTTAAAATTAATATTTTAAGTTATTTCCTTTGTTTATTTTCTCAAGAAGTTGAATTTCGATTTTTGTTTGGGCGCTGTCAAAGAAACGTAAGTTTCATTTAGTTTAGTTTTTTTTTTTTTAAATATTTATTTTTACGCAGATCGTAAAGAGTGTGTGTTGTCTTAACCGCGTTTGTTTTTTTTTTATTTTAAATTTTTTTTTTTTTATTTAAACATAACATATACAAACAAATGGTGAAAAAGAGCGTTTGTCGTAGATGTTTTTTTTTCTTAATACGATTGTTTAAAGACAAAAATTTTGAAAAAATATAAATTACAGACAAATATAAAATTTTGTTATTTAAAAGAAAAATTTGGAATATAGTTTTTCTGGTTTGCCAATTTTGAAGTGTTCCAAATGAGATTGTTTTTTTTTTTTTTTGCTCTGGATCATAGTTTATGAACATTTTCCCCCTATATGCATATGTACAAACATAATACATACATACATATATATGGAGGGATTTCATTCAAAACCAAGAGTAATTTTTCCAAAAAAAGTGTTTGTTTGTTTCTTAAAAAAGCCGAATAAAAGTTATTTCTTATAATTCAATCCAAGAATTGTTTTCTATAATAAATATTTTCAAGAAGTTTTTCCACAGATTTTTTTTTCTATTTTAAAATAAATATTAACACAAAAATATTATAAAAAAATAAAACAATTTATTATATATTTTCCATATAGAAATAAATTGTTTTTATTTTTTTTGTTCATTCGTTTGCCACTCTTTTTCCATTGTATTCATTTTTTTTTTCTATTTGAACGATTTCTTATTATTTAATATATAACAAAATTATTTTTATTTTTTTCATTTAATAACAATTATTATTATTATGTGAAAGAAAAATAACAAAGAAAAAAAATTATAATGAAAAAACACATTTAGAAATTTATTTTGTTTTAATTAAATAGAGGCCATTTCCAAAAAACGTAGATCAACTTCTTGACAATAATTTCAATATTTTCCGTAAAAAATCATAATTTTTGCGCTGATTCTTTTTGTTTTGTGATTTGCATAATTAAAATATTAATTTTAAATAAATTGGATATTAAGAGCATAATTTGTGTTTTTTGTTTTGTGGTAAATATATATTTGTTTAACTCTTTTGTGACATTTTTGTGGATATTTTCTTTTGTCGATGAAATTCATTGTTCATTTATTTAATGAAGTTATGGTAACCCTTGACACAGTTGTTGTACTAAACCAAGAGCTAAGTTATGATTATATTGTCGTCTGACGTTGCCTACTTTTAGGGATTTACAGTATATTAATTCTGTTGGAAGTGTGATAACGTTATTTAGTCATATTGGTAACAAACGAATAGTGTATTATTGTCAAATTAAGCGGAATTACGAAATATTATTCCCAAAGAGAACTTTATTCAGCTTTTTTCTTAAACTTTTGACTGGTAAAATAAGTAAAAGAGTGAAATATAAAAATTTCTTAAAGGAAGAGAAAACCAAAGTACACATAAAAGCCTGAATCCATATGGGGGAGAATAAGGACACACATAAAGTAGATCAATATATCATGGCGTTAAGCCCCCTTTATAACCCGAGGATGGACCAACAATTATTCCTGTCATTCTAACTAACATTAAAAAAGAAGTTAAAAGGTATCAATCGGTTCTGCAGATAGAATAATACCCTCAGCCATTGTTCGATTATTTAAATATATTGTGACTGTTGTTATGTTTATTCAAACTGTTGACCCTCTATGGAGTGGGTTCTGAGGGAATGGATCAATATTGTCTATTTCGTATCGGACCTAAATAAATACGATATAAGTATGTGGCAACTTGGTAACAGGTTGGTAACTTGACACATGTGATAATTTTTACAAGAAAATCGAACATTTTTTATACAATTTTATGCGAAATCATAAATTCCATATTCATCACAGGTTTCTGGTTGAGAGAAATATTCAGATATAGCAAGTTGTCGCAAGAATCGCTGACTTGTTTCGCAAGTTATGATAGATGAAAGTATTGAAAATTGTGACCCTTTGTGGGTGAGGTACCAGAAGGGGTTCGCAGGTATATATCATCTTCACAACAGATTTTGTATTAGCAAAATTTTTTGTATGTGTGAAATTTGAGGAGAGTTGGAGGTTTATTTTGCTTTCTTTTAGCGTTTTGTTTTTCAAAATCTGGAAACCTATATGGAGCAGGTAGCAAAAGAAAAAGTCAGATCTCTACCATCTGTATGACAGTTCTTGTGTTGATGAAAATATTGAGATGTACCAAGTCTGGAATGGAATCGGATGTTAATTCGTTAATTGTTAAGAGCTTCATGGATATTCAAAATGTTGAACCTTTGTGGGTAAGTACTAGAAGGAGTAGGCCGATATTCCCCATCTTTACAAAAGAACTTGTGTTAGTAGAAATAATGGGATATATGAAATATAAAGAGAGCCTTATGCTTATATCGCGTTTTATGACCTTCATGGATATTCAATTGTTGACCCTTTGTAGGGGAGGTACCAGAGAGAATGGCCCGATCTCTACCGGTTTTATAACAGATCTTATATTAATAGGAATATTCAGAAGTGCCAAGTCTAAATGGAATCGGATGTTAATTTCGCGTTTTATGAGCTTAATTGATATTCAAAATCTAGATCTATTGTGGGGAGGTACCAGAAGGAGTGGAGCGATAAATTCCATCTTGACATCAGATCTTGAATTTGTAAAAATATTGGGATGTGTGACAATTTTAAGACAATCGGATTCTTTCATTACGATGTATGAGAGTTATAATTATTCAAAATTGTGACCCTTGGAGGGGGGTGGGGATGAGAATCACTTAATGGAGTGGACCTATGTTATCCATTTGTGCATCTGACCGGGCACTCAGGCTAATATTAGAATTTGCAAAGTTGGAGTAAGATTATCCATTCTTTTTTTGTGCAGTAAAATATATTTTTTGAAAATTTCGACATTTTGTGGAGGAGGTACCAGAAGGGGTGGACCGATATATTCCATCTTCACACCAATCCTTGAGCTAATGACAATATTGTGATGTGTAAAAATTGAAGACAATCGGACTCTTACATCACAATTTATAAGAGTTATAATTATTCAAAATGTTGACCCTTTGTGGGGGGATGTACTTGATGGAGTGGACCTATATTATCCATTTTCGCACCAGACCTAGAACTGATGCAAATATTAGGATTTGCAAAGTTGAAGCAAAATCGGATCATCCTTTCTATTTTTTGACAGTAAAATGTATTTTTTGAAAATTTCGACCTTTTGTGGGGGGGGGGGGCACCAGAGGTAGTGGACCGATATTGCCCATCTCCGAACTCGATCTAAGTTTGATAATAATATTACGATGTACCAAGTTTGAACCAAATCGGATACTCTCTTTGGAGAGTTATTGTGCATACCAAACAGATAGACAGGCAGGCGGACGGACAAACATCGCTAGATTGACTCCGTATGTCCTGAAACAGGTTTGGTCCTAAGAGACCTATCTGTTTGGTAGGATTACACATAAAAGTATCTAAAATAATGAAAAGTGAAAATTGAAATTCGAGACCTATCTGTTTGGTAGGATTACACATAAAAGTATCTAAAATAACGAAAAGTGAAAATTGAAATTCGATTACTGACAGAATAGAAAAAATTGTAAAGTTAACTATTTCGTAAAAGCCATAAATCGAGAATCCCTGTTTTATTCACGCAAATTTGTGTAGTAAAAGGTTTTGAGATGGTTTGGTAGTCATTGTAATTTTTGCTAGTTTTCTCTTATATTTTCGGGTGTTAGTAAAAAGTTTCACATCGAGGTTCATACGAAAGTCGACTTTTCGGACTTCAAATTTTCTGCAAATATCTAAAAAAATTTTTTCAATGTTTTTCCAAGTCCAAAGTCAAACCAAAGTCTAAACTCGATTTCAGTTCTAGTAGATTTAACACGAGATGAGAGCCCCGATTGCTTTACGTTAAGTATTTTAAAATAGAAAATCAAAACTAAAAACACCTTAATCGTTGCATACTTTTAGGATAAGAATGAAACTAATCGGCGAAAAGCAATAAATACAATAACAACGGAAGTAGTTTATGCAAGGTTGATTTTTATACCCTACACAATAGTATTGAGGGTATATTAAGTTTGTCATTCCGTTTGTAAGACCTCGAAATTTACATTTTAGACCCCACAAAGTATATATATATTCTTGACCAGCATAAAATTCTATGTCGATTTATGGCGATGTCCGTCCGTCCGCCCGTCTGTGGAACGAAATGAAGTAGATTGATAACATTTTACTCAAATATTATTATATTGGTAG